TTACAAAAAATAATGACATATAGATTGTAAAGTATTAGAACATATTAAAAACATGGGGAACAAACATATAATAAGTGTTCATACAAGTATCCACTATATCTCTAATAATTTATTGCAAAAAAATAAAAGGCGCAATGAAAGTTATTGATTTTCTATCTAAGTGAGAGTCACGTCCTAGGCGGGTGACTGGGCGGGTGCCTAAGCGGGTTAGGCGCTCTTTCTTAATTTTCAAACACCTTGAAATTAATCAGGCGGTGACCAGTCGCTTAGCGCCTAGACGGAGCCTAAGCAGCGCTAGGCATGAATTTTTAGAATAGTGATTTCAACCAAAACAAAGTGACAAATAACAAATAAATTGTGAAAAAATGAACTCCATAATCTGGACTGAGTCTGTTCGTTGTTTGCAGCAAAAAATTCTGATACCTGTAGGAGAAATAAACACACAAATTACAACCCAAAAATATATAGAACAGCACGAGCTTAGCATGACGTACTGGGAAATGATGTGTTGGGCAATGAAATGTTGCTCATAACTGAAAAAAAAATGTACAAACAAACTTTTGTAAAAATGAAGTATGTGTTGGATTTTTCTTTTATTTTTTATTTCTTTTAGGATAGTTGGAGAAGATGGCTTAATTGTTTTTTCCCTCACATTCTTATGAAGAAGGGAAACATAGAGTGGGGAAGAGACTACATACTGCGAAGAAAATTTAGGAAAAAAAGGATAGAGAGAGAGTAAAAGAGGAAAAAATGATAAAAGGAACATAAGTTTTGTTAAAAATGAAGCCTGTGTTAGAATATAGGGTACTTCTCACTTTTATTCTCTAAAATGTCGTGGTTTTTAAACTTTCATGCATCAAGTTTTTTTCGTCTTAGTGTCATACCTAATGTGAGAACTACGGGACACTTTCACACATCTATTAAGTTTTCCGTCAGAACTTTCGTTCGTGGCGGTCACATAGACCATGATTAGATGCCGCGCGTCAATCTAACCTCACGTGGACATTAAAAAAATAAAAATTAAAAAACTAAGCCTTGCCCTTGGTTCTCCCCCCCCCAAACCCCTTCTTTGTCTCCCCAACCTCATTTCGTTTCCCTTTCACAATTAACGCATAACTCTCTGCCTCCCATTACTTCTCTCTGTTCCTCCTCCATTCTTTCAAGCCAAGAAGCTCAAATTCTGGTGCATTGATTCGACCTAGAAGCCAAAACACTTCATAAATCTTGGATCTTTGGTTGTTCCTAAATCCTAAGCCTCCACTAAGGCAAACCCCAGAAGCCAAAATGTTATCAATTTGTGCAAATGTGACAGGTTCGATCCCTGTTGGAAATATGCCTAAAGCTAATCATGAGATGGTATTTTATTGAAATTTCATATGTTAAATTAATCTAATTTAATTTAAAGACAAAGATTATGTTTAAAGTTGTCTTATAAAATGATATATGTTTGAACAATAAGTCCAGTGAATATGTAACTAAGAGAATGTAATCTAAAGAAGTTAGATTTATGAGACCTTTCTTTTTCATATACATATTCTAAACGTTTCTGATTATAGGATTGTCAATTGAACATTGACATTCTCGATAGATCAGTACATTTCCTTTGGAGTGTGACTGGTCTCGGGTCATTGGTGTGAATGACACCAAGACAAGTATGTATGTGCTCAATAAAGAGTGAGTCCACTGAATGCGATCAACCAGGAGTTCTCAGAGCAACTCCACCGTTGCTTATTGATTTGGGGATAGGTGACCCAATTCACTTTCCTCCCCCCCCCCTCCCTAAAACACTCTAGCCCACTAGGGCAATTGGACCCAAGGTGAGCCCGATGGAGAACTCAGGCAATAATCGCTTAGCAAAGTGGGCCTACGTGACGTAAGGTTGACGTCATCATGACGTCAACCACAATTAACATTATTTAAAAATTATAGAAATTATTAAAAATTAATTAAAAATACAAAAAAATTATAATTTCTCTCTATAAATACATAACCATGTTCTTCCACTTTACACTACATTTCAATATTTTCAAATACTTTTAGTTAATCTTTTATTATTATCCGAAATTAAAATAAAGTATCTTTTATAATTTTATAAAATAAAAAATACTAATATTTTAATATGGGTTACTCAATTTAGCGGTGGAGATGCACTTGGGTAGTTAATGTTCATTGTAAACAGTTACTGTTCATTTAAGGAGATTGAGTTGCCTATTGCCCAGGGGGCCTTCCTACATTGGAAGTGCTCTCATACTCATGTCATATGAGAACTCATAGTTGGGATAATGCAAAGTAGTTCTTTGGCCTGAGACACCATAGTTGTCTGGTGGTTAGGTCCTTAGTCTTTGGCTTTGCTAAAGGCTTCCATTTGAGGGTGTCCACGACATAAGGTTTAAGCTAAGTCGTGTGGGCATGTGAGGGATCTCTAACCTTCAAACTATTGAGGGAGAATACTCCATAATAAGATAAAGAATCTCTGATCGGAGTACGAATGAGATTTAGGAAGTTGTACCAAATCACATCCAAGATAATCATATAGACAACAAAATCACATTACATAGTAGACATGAATAAACTATCAACCAAATAATATGATCAAGAGTATTGATTTAGAGAAGAAATGTGTTGCATTGTTCCCAAACTGAATAGGTTTTCCAACCTTTTCTAATTGGCTTGGATAGCCATGACATATTGGCAGGTGTCACTCATAGTTTGTGAAAGCCGTGAAGATGAATAATCACGAAAAGAAGAATTGCAAGTAAGTTTCAATTCACAATTGATCAGTAAGAGTTTTAATCGCAATTTGCCTAGCTCAAACCTAATGAATCACACACTGTGTAAGTAATGATTCAAGATATAACAGAGTTGAGTAAAGACAATTAAATAATTTAATTATTTTTTTTACTAGGAATAATTAATATGTTAATTAATCAACGAATAAGTTTGTGTTAGACCTCGGGTCAGTTTGGGCCTCGAGGCCAAATGGGCATTGAATGGTCAAGCCCATTAGCTTAAGTTGTACGACAACTTATAGGGCACAAGGCCCTCTAACAAGCTTAGGCCGCCCATAGAGAGAGAATGAGGACTTTGGTCCAGTTCACTCACAAAAGTTGGTGAGTATAAAAGAGGCATTATAGTCTCATCTTTCATTATGGTTTATTAAAGGAAAGAAGAGATAGCACAAGTTCTCTCTTTCTCTCAAGAGACCGGACAACATGAGAGGAAATAGCTAGCTATCTCTTCCTCCCATATGTGTTGGTGGCGAAAATTAGAACCCCTCTACTTTGAGGACTTTTACAGAATCCATTCAAGCTTCCAAATCCATGAATCCAATGAGACAAAATGATGAAGATGAAGGCTATGGAGTTCAACCTAAGATAGGAATGAAGGCCCTCACCTTGGGTGATTACCCTTTCTTTATGCAAAGAGGAGCTTCAAAAGGTACCAAAAAAAAATTCTCAACTCTCTTTGTGATTTGAATTGAGCCCTTGGTAACCAAATTACTGGGCTTTGAATTTTATGGCTTAAGTTATTTTTTAGTGCATACAAGCATGTTTTCATTATATAATTGTTAAAATGCATGTAATATGTTGTTCCATAAACTTAGTATATAAAAAAAAAAATTTCTTCAATCCCCACCGATCCCCATCCCCCAATTAACAAATTAACCTATTAACGCTATCGTTTGTAAAAATAAAATAAAATTGTTTTATGACAAATGAAATTAAGGGTGGGCAAACGGGTAGAGGAACCGCATGTCAGGTCGGGTAAACAAGGTTCGGGGTGAGTCTAATTTTTTTAGAGGATAAACGGGACGAGGCGGGACGTGTGTATTTTAGAGGCGGGCCGAGTCCTATCATTTAGAATAACGGGCCCCGGATCAGCCCATTCTAAATATAATGGATGTAGTATCAGTTTGGTACTGCTGTGATTTAAAAAAAAAAAAAGGAGACATTTTTAGCGTTTGGTAACCTCTTAGAATCATCTTTTTTTTTTCACAAATTAAGATGAAACAAAGCCAAAAAGCCAAAGCAGCAATTTCTAACTTTGAAAAACCAACTTTTGGCAAACCTCCAAAAGGCACTGAGACTTTAATGAAATTTCAGATACCCATATTAACCTTAACCAATTCAATAATTTACATTATCATATCAAACTGGACTGCTTCAGAATCCCACCTAAAGCCATCCCCCCGTAGCCACCTGAAGCCATTCCTCTTCCATTAATCTATCAATCTGATCAAACTTGACATATTGGGAGATCCATGTGAAGCCATCCTCGTACCCTATCTTGCGCACGATAAGGATGTGGGTCTTGTTGTCGGAGTCGACTGATCTGCCAATCTTGATCTGGAAAAAAAATTCAAAGAGGGGTTGGGGAAAAAGATCCTAAAATCGCGAATTTGGTGAAGAAAGGCTTGAATTCAAGCGAAGAAGAGCCTGAAATCGTGTGATCTGCTTCAGGAATTTGCGGATTTTGATTCGAGGTTCAGTTTGAGTTGTTGGCAGGGAAAATGAAGACGTAAAAGAAGGGGTGACGGAGAAAGGATGGTAAGAAGAGTATCCGGGAGCAAGGATGACAAGGAAAAAGATGGAGAAAGGAAAAGAGGGAGAAATGGGCCATAAATGACTAATAAATATATAAATTAATCATTCCTCCACTCTATACTCTTTTTAATAAATTAAAAATAAAAATAAAATAAAATAGGAATTATTATTGACACTTCAAAAATCTCATTTTACACTTCAAATTTTCTATAATTAGAAAGAAAAATATATTAATGAGGAATGTATAATGAGATTTTTGAAGTGCTAAAAATAATTCCCGATAAAATATTATTATATCATCATACTCTTTTTTATTATATCATTTTTAACCAGTTAACATATTCACAGTATTTTTGTATAAAAGTTTACCAAACCCTTAACCTAAAAAAAAAAACACTGTCACAAAAATTTTACCAAACAGTAAACTACTTAATTTTACCGTTATTTATTTTCACATGATAACGAAAACAGTTTTTTTAAAAGGCGAGCAATATCAAACTAGCCGTGCTCTTCTCCTGCTCCATCTCTCTTAGAATCCAGAGTCTCCAGAGTCCCAGACCATCCACTCCTGTCAACCTTTGCGACTCCGACTCCGTACTCGCTCTTCTCACTGCCGTCTCGACCACCACGACGGCACCAGCTGTCTCTCCTCTTGGACACATCCCAGAGAACCTAGGTCCCAGAACCACGACGACACCACCCATCTCTTCTCCCCGACGACATCGGTGCCATCGAGAACACTGCCAGCGGCCGATGAGATGAGGTTCTTCAATTTCGATATATTATTACGGCCAATGAGGTTCGGCTTTTAAATATAAGATGAATTTCAGTTAGCATCTCGATTGGGCATGCTGAAATCCTCTCGATTTCTGAATCTAGGGTTCTGATTCTTATTCAGGCCAATCGATTCTTCAATTTCGTCTAGAAGAATTGTTCAGTTGTGAGCTGAGCTGCTGACGATCATCAAAAATCACCAGCTTTTTGCAGCAACCGACATTTTATTTCTCTTTGCAGGTGATTTTCTTCTGCCCTATATTATCTGGGTTTACGTGTTTGTATGGTGTGGAAACTGGGATTGTGGACTTTGAGCCACCAAGCTTGTAGCTTTTGGATTTCTGATGCTTTCGTTTTTGTTTTGGTGGCACTGGGATTGGGATTGGGATTGGAGTTCATAAAATTTTGGTTTTAGATTTCCATGCTTTGTTGAATCATATGCTTATATCCCATAATTTATTTTCTTGAAATTTTGATGAATTGGGTCTCTTTATTTTAGTTTAAGATATATTCTTCAGTAGATAATTACCATATTTAGCACACATGAACTATAGAAAGTATTTTCCTTTACGGCGGAAACGATCCACACACCTCTATTTATTTTTGGACCGAAAAGGGCTGTGAGGAATGTATTTCCCTTTATTTTAATCAAGAAGTTATGCAATCGTTGGCCCCGGAATTGTATGCATATAGATATAGACAAGTGTTATGTCAAAATTAAAGTCGTTTGTTTTTAAAGAAAACTAATGGAAATGGTTTGAAAACTTTGAGTTTTAACGATAAGGACAAAATAAAGGGTAAAGTGAATAGTACCAGCATTGACTTTTTAACGTAAAAATGTGGTTTTTCATTCAAGTGAACAATACCGTGAGTTTTTTTTGTTAAAACTCCCTTGTTTTTAATGTTGCAGCAGTGAGAGCTCATACGTAATGGAGGACCTCAAAGAGAAGCTGCTTCCACCAAAAGTCCCAAAACCTGCATCAGCTGTAAACCTTCGCGAAGCATCGTATCGATCATCGGCCTTTGGAAGGTAACCTTTTCAAGGAGTAGTTCTTCTGGGGCTGAAGAATATATAAGAATTCATGTCTCTGTTGCTGCAGTGCTGCTGTGCAATGCAGTTTATAAATTACCCAAAAAAATAAAAAGAGTTGGACCCGCTCCAAATTGGTCTATTTGAAACTGGCCGGATTAGATCCGGTTCCAAAACTCAAAATCCTTCTACCCGACCCATCCCGTTCCGTTTAAAACAGGTAAGGTTTGGTCCCTTCGAAATTAAGCCCGGCCCAGCCCGTGTCCACTCCTAAATGAAATGATTATTATTTTTTCTTTCTTTAAATATAGCAAAGAAAATCAAACCCTCACCTTATTTTATCAACATTGGCTGCAAATCACACATTAACCAAATCCTAATAAAATTAATATCAATTAATATAGACCATTTTCATCGATACATTTACAACAGGCAAACACCTTCAAAACAAATGGGTTAGCTACAATTAGATATCAAATTTATCACAAATATATATCGTTCTCATATACGTTGAACCTGTGACATCGTTTCATCAGATGAAGTCTGAAGACAACTATCCTATTAAACCAAAGGCTGGTTGATTAATTGTGTTAGACTTAATCAATTATTTAAAATAAACCCTGAGTTGTTGTTTGACTTAACTATTCATGACACCGTGATGAAGTTCATCAAAACTATTTTATACATTAGCGTCAAAAGCATAAAAATACAATCTGACTTCCTCACGTATAGGTCCTGTTTCCTTATTGTACAGATTCTAGATATATTATTAGGAGTAGGATACTCTCCAGATCCTCTTTGTGTGGATCTGAGAGATTAATCAATCGTGTCCGTTCATCGTACATCATGCGGATAGAAATTATTTAAAATTTAAAATTGAATATAAATAGTACTTAACGAAAACTGACCGCACAATGTACGATGAACGAACACGATTGATTGATCATCTGGATCCCCACAAAGAGGATCCTTGTCCATATTATTAAGCCTCAATACCGACGGCTGGAAAAAGTGCAAATTAGACTATCTCTAAATCAGATGTCAAATTTTAAATGAAGGGAATTGTTATTGACACTCCAAATTTCTCATTCTACACCCCAAACTTTCTATATTTAGAAAGAAAAATACAGTGTAGAATGAGATTTTAGGAGTGCAAATAACACTTCCCTAAATGAAATGTCATTCAATCAAATTTGAGATTGAGATATAAAATTTATGTTGCCAAATTTGACATATGAGAAAAGATGCTGTCAATTTTTTTTAATTATTTATTTTAATGATTTCTTTTTGAAAGTGGGTTTTACAAATATCATTTATAACAAAAAACCATATGGGTTGGAGAAGAAGAAAATCTACATTGTCACGTCAACCATCTAATTAATATTTGATATTTATCTTTTAACACTTTCTATTGAAGATGCTCTTATATGGTTAAGGTAGATTATGTCAATGCGCGTGTGGCTTCGACTCTGGAGGGTACCAACTACTAGGTGGAGGTTGCTACATATAAGTACTTTGTCAATGGAAGAAAATAAGATTTGCTTGTAACGTTATACAACATTTACCAATATTTAAAGGTTTGAGAGTGTTAATTTTTTATTAGGAGTAAAATATTAATTTTGTAAGATCGTATAAGGAAGCAAGTTATTCTTCTATGGTCAATTAGTTTTAGGGTCAATCTTTAATTTCTTTCATAATATTAGAGTCAAGTTAATCCACACATCAATTAGTTTTAGGGTCAATCTTTAATTTCTTTCATAATTTTAGAGTCAAGTTAATCCACACAGTAAGCATAATAGCTTACGTACTCACATATCACCCACTACGTGTTGTTCATATGTTATACGTAAATAATGTCATAGGTGAAGAACGTAAGAGTGTAAACTGCAAGTTAAAATTTGTAAACTGCAAGTTAAGATTTATAAAGAAATTAGGTTATTCTCCATGTAGCCAACTGATTTTTAAAATAAACCTCAGTGGGCTAGTAGCCAACAAGATCCTCTCTGGTTCCTTTTGGTGAGGATCATGGGGATCTGTAATCATGTTCGTTAATCATACATCGTGCAGTCAGTTTTTGTCAGGTACTGTTTGTATTTAATTTTAAATAAAAATATTTAAAATAATTTTTTACCGCACAATTTACTATGAACGGATATGATTCATAGATCTTCAGGATCCTCACAAAGAGGATCTAGCGAGTATCTGGATTCGCCTAGTAGTAGGACAAACTTGGACTTTCATGACGGTTGGACAATGAATAGCAGTTAAAATCTTTTACGTTTTTTGTCATATTTGAATCCGTAAGAGAATCAACTTGACATGTAATTGTCGAAAAACAATGAACCCTCCCCACCACGTAATTTAAATTAACATGTGTTAATTTTGACGCATCCATGCATGCATATTTCAAAGTTTCATCATTTCACCACTTACTAGATATACTTGATAATATCCTACGTTAAAATATAAAATTACTTGAATCTTTTAGATGAATGAGTTAAGTTGAGCACATTGTAATTTATGGCTTTGTGATTTTAATTAGGTGAGGTATACAAGTCTGTGGTCCAAACCAAAACTTGACACATGGTAATTTAACGTTTGATTAGTGATTTTAACCAGTGATTTAGATGCATATATATATTTTTAGTTTTAGGTAAACAAACAAGACTTTAGTCCTCACCTTCGTGTCACATGCATGGACTGATGAGGACAAGCAAGACTTTCTCAATTCTGAATTGCGCGCTTTGACTGAATCTGGTCCTTCTAGACTGCTTGTTACCCAAGCATTCCATAACATATTAACAAACAGATACAACGGTCAACTTTAACTGTCAACCCCTCCCCCACCAGTCGTACGAGTCTTCCATGCACCACCAATTCTTCCCTTTCCACATCCACCTTCCACTATAAAACCCCAGATACCTAATAATTCAAATAGCAAAACAAACCCCATTTACCAGATTAACCCTTCTCAAAACCAGCCTGTATAGAGAGAGAGAGAGAGAGAGAGAGAGAGGGAGAGTTTTCCGATGTCCAGTGTCGGTAGAAGTCAGTCTGTGAAGGTTGTGATCATCAACACCAAGTACGTGGAGACGGATGCTATGAGCTTCAAAGATGTCGTGCAAAGGCTAACTGGGAAGGACTCGAGGGTGGCATACGAAGTGCAGGAGCCAGTTACAAAGAGCCCGAAGTACTTTTTGAAAGAGGAAATCAATGGGAGGACTAGTAATAATGTTATGGAATCATCAAATACTTCTACTACTAGTACTATGTCTCGGGATAACTCTTCAGTTTTGATGAGAAATATCTCGTTCAAGGAGTTCGAAAGAATGTTCAGAGAGATGCCTCCAGTAGAGGAGTTTTGGGCTGAGTAATATATTCTTTAGAAAAATTACTCTATATATATAGTTGTATGTGCTAGCTTATAATTGCATAACGTTAATTTGGTTACCCAGTTATTCCATATAAATCATTTCTTCATTCTATACATTTGATTATTACCTGACCGATCAATTTCAGATACAGTAGCATTACAAGTATCATATTTACTAACCCAACTACAAGTCGCATTTCCAAACAAGGAAGATAGATAAAACCCTACTTATACAAGTGTGCATATATATAAAAGGTGGATCTGACCTATATAATGCGATCAGAAAACATGCTTGGCCGAAATAATTTATTTTCTCTATATTTAACTGGAAACTAAACTAGCCTTACCATGATTTAAGATTAATTCGTAGTGATAAAGCTGGAACCACTTCAAAATTGGTTACACACATCACATAAATAATTAATGTAAATGCCTGGATTGTGGGGCAGCATGCGGCAATAACGTCGATATTACTTAATTCTCACCTGCGTGGCTTTATTTTTGTCACAAAAATTATGGGGTTGATATCCGTTGGCCATCCTTTCATTTGCGCCCTCTTGTGCTACAGAGTATCTGTGGACCAAGCCAACTGGGGATGACCTACTTCTTTTGACCTACTTCTTCTCAACTTGTTTTTGTCATCTTAGGTTTGGTGATTTAGTACACTAGAATATATAAACCAGGGAAAAGGAATGTCCATTCCATTATGATGTATGTATACTTTGGATAATGACGATTCTCAATTTGTTATTCCCTCGCCCAAACATATACTTCCTTTTGAGGAATTTTTAAGGGTGACAGAAAAATAGTATATCATGTGTTATAATATAGGTAAATGACAATAAATTAATATGTCTCATCTTTAGAGTACATTAACAAAAATCAAATGTACGTGTTATGATTTGAATAGTACAGTAACGCCACGTGGTTGTTAAAGCATGGCTCTTTTTGATGTTATTAAAATGGTAAAGAGTCTCACCTATCAGTATGAGTCTCCTAAAGGAACCAACAAGAGAGGCTCCAAACCGAGCGCTTCGCCATGAGCTACTGCGCACTACAACTAAAGCTCGACCCAATCGCTTTCCGATTTTCATAACCCCTCATTTCAACATAGCTTCATTATCAATACAAACAAAAGCATCTTTCTCAATGTAAAAAAACTAAACCATCACTCAACTAATCGAACTACTTGACCTATTCGGGTTACTTGAGCTATAATCAACTGGAATATTCTATATATACTAAATCTCAGCGGATTGACACTGTTCATTAACAGTGCCGTTCCGGTTTTGTCCCTCAGTTTCTTCATGGTTTTTCGGCTTTAGTGGGATTGTGCAGTAAATTGGCCATTTTGCCCTTCATCATAGGTGTTGCGCGTGCGTGCCTGTTTGCTTCTAAGCGATGTTGACACGTTAGTCTGATTGAAGAGTTCTCCACCGTTCCTTTTCGTTTTTGGTGAGGAAGGTGCTCGAAGGCTCTTCCATTTTCTTCCGTCGCTTTTTCCTTTCTTTCCTCTCTGTGCTTTTCTCCCCGTGTCAACCCTTCGTGTTTCCCTGCTTCTCTCGCCGTGTCGATCGTCGATCGTGTGTTGTGTGAAGAGTTTCTTTTTCCGGCTGATTGTACTGTTTCAGGTGGTTTCTCTGCTTTTTTTTATTTTTTATTTTTTATCTTTTTATCTTTTCTCTGATTGGGAAGAAAATTTGTGTTTTCAGTGTGGTTGTTTAATCTGATTGGGTTTTTTTGTTTCAGGAAAATTGGTGTGTGAATTTTAGGGGTTTTTTGTACAACCTTGCAAACCCCTGATTAAGGTCTGTGAGTTTTTTCTTTCAAATCTTTTCTTATTTTTTTCGATGATTTGTGTGTGGCTGTTCCATCTAATTCGATTTTTCGTTTTAGGAAATCTTGGTCTTCGAGGTTTAGGGTTTTCATCTAGATCGATTGCTCGATCGATGTAAAATTGAAGTCCTCTGTTTTTTTCTCTCTAGAACTCTGTTTTACTGTGTTGTTTCTGTTGCAGGTGGCGGTGTTTGCTTGGTTTTGTGCTCTGGTCTTAGAAATTGAATAGTTTTTTTTTTTTGGTGGTTTCGTGCTATCTTGAACTCCAAGTGGAAAGCCCGGGGAACAGGAAATGGACAATCACAATTATTATTGGTTTTTATATTTAATATTTAACTCAGTTTAATTAATTAAATTTTTTTCATCAATTAATTTGAATTATGTGGTGAAATAATCATATATAATTAAGTTTATTAGGTTGCTTTTTTTCTTTTTTTTTTTGGGTGTGTTTTAGCATGTGGATCGGATTTCAAGTATTTTTTAGGGTGGGTAAAAAGGTTGATATAGTTTATTTGTTGCAGAGGATATGAAGAAGTGGAAAGGTACCTGGTGGAATGCGAGTTTTGATGCTTAAGACAAAGAATGGTAACTTAGCTATTTCATTTGCTTTTTGGCTATTTCATTTGCGCTGTACAATGCGTTTTAGTTTTGTTCAACTCATAGATAGTTTAACTCATGATATGTCTTCGCATCGTTCTTGGATATCATTAACTACTCCTTGCAAAAGGTGAAACTGAATATATACAAAATTTTATATTTGTGCATCAATAGATAACTATGACTAATTTAAAGAAATTGTTGCAATTTGGTATCAATTGTGTTCAGTTGTTTGGAAGCATGACTATGTCTGCAAGAGATTTACTGAGGATCCAGATTGTATCATGTTCTGAATGAGCTTGAAAGAGGAGTTGCTCTTCATCTGACAATTGCATTGCATGTGAGTAATGTCTTCTGTTTTCGTGTCTAAATTATTGAGAATTAACTTATACAGATGGGGATTAAGTGATTTAAAGACATCGCATTTTAGAATAGGTTTTGTTAATCTACCCGTGGTGGAACCCAGCTGTTGAGAGGCAACCATAAGATAGAATCCACCGGATAGGGCAGTACAAACTGATCAGGTACACATTTTTCTCCAGTTCTGCAAAGTGTTCCCAACTATACAAACCAAAAAATCTATGTTAATATCTCTAATATTTTCTTCTCCATTGCAGAATTATGAGATTGGTTTGGAATTTGATTATTTCAATTTGTTTTTCTGGATTATATTTCAAGGTCAGTTGCTAAACTCTGTCCTTTGTTATTGGTTTTTGTTATTAGATTATTCTTTGTTGCTTTGGATTTAAGCTATTGTTCAATGTCTTTTCATATGAGTTCTGCTTTTTGCATTGTTCTTTTTTGTTATTAATGTTGGATTGTTGGCTTATAAATTTAGAGTGGGTTGCTTTAGATTTTACTTGGAGTAGCTTGCGAATTGATTGCTGGGTTTTAATTTAGAGCACTATCTAATCAAATGAAGGGCCAAGAGTTTCTATTTGAATGATGGTCCTAGATCATTTCATTCGTTCCAGAAATGTTTCTGAATTTGAAGACTTAAAATCCAGACTAAAGAGTAGCATTATCTTGGATTGCCTATCTTAGCAGGATGATTTTAAATTACAACAACTTTGAAATTTACATTTGGAGTGTATTTTCATGTACAGGACAAGGTGTGGATTAGATAGCAGGATCTGGTTGGAAGACAAGATTTTGTGAAAGAAAGGGTAAGAAAATGCTGATGAATTTTCTTTGTTGATCTGTGCATGTAAGAGCTCTTACTGATTGTTTTGTTTTCTTTTGGCCATGTAAAGGCTCTGTACATAGAGTTCACAATACATGCATAGTTTTTCTTTGTTCTAAAAATTTTAAGTTCCTATAATTCTTTTCCTGCATTTATGAATTCTAAATAAATGCAAATCATAAAAATAATCACAGTGGATAAAATTATTGGCTTTTATGCACTAATGAAATATGGCAGCCTTTCAGCTCCCACCCAAGGGTTTTTTAAAGAATGATGTAATTAAATCAATTACATGCTCTATTAAGTATGTTTTATATATAGTTGTGGTAGTTGTAAGGGAATGAAATATTTATGCAGATAATTGGTAGTTTAAATATATAAAAATGGAGAATAATTATAATTGGAACACCTAGGATATTTAACATTGTTTTGTTTTGCATGTGTTCTCATGTTAGCACAGCTTTTGTTTATGCATTTTATTCAAGTGCTATTTTTTATTAGTGTTAATTTCGGGTTGTACATCTACATCTAACAATTAATTATTCGTTTGGAATTTGGTTGTTTGTTAATTTCATTACTACCTATTCCCTCAACTTCACCTAAACTGTTCTGCATGTATAAGATTTGTGTTCGTGCAAGTGATTTCAGACAGATTTCAAGCTGGGGTGTAGAGATTTGATTCAAATTGGTGGATTTGGGTAAGAAACTAAGAAACTCTGATATTTTCTTTTGGTTGTAAGATTTGAAATGGACATGCATGTGACTTTCTTTGTGAGATATAAGAAATTGAGAATTTTTTTGTTTATTGTTCTAGGGTGGGAGGGGTATTGATAGATATAAGAGAATTAGTAATTTTAATCAATTTGATAAATTAAGAATAGCGAGTTAGCGATCTACACAAAAAATTTGTTAATAAATTGGTTAATAGGTTCTCATTTCCATTTTATTATTAGCTCTAATGCTTTTCTTTGACTTATGTGTATGATACAATTGATATGTTCTGTGTATATGAGCTTGCTTGAAATATAGCTAGGAAACATCTTTCCATTTTTTAGAATACTTTGAAATATAGCTAGGAAACGTCTTTCCTTTTTTTATTTGGGCAAACATTTATTTCCTACACTGTTAACTTTCTTTAATGCTTGCTCTGGATTTTACAGGTTCTTTTTAAAGTTTGGCACTAAATTGCTTTTCTTTTCTTGGGTGCAAGGAAAATGAAGGAAGGGAAGGAATTAAATTCTGGATTTATCAAACACTTTGTAGATATTCCATGCATTTTTGCAGCTGGAATCTTTTGGTAAATACTTAACCTTTTAATCAAAGCCTATGTATGCCAATTGGTTTTGTAAGTAGCATCAAATAATTAATTGCTTTTTTCTTGGTAAGTGCTTAAATGTTTACACTTTCAGTTTAACAGAAAATGATAAATTGAGACAAAGTTGGAACCTAAATTACCTAATAAATCAATATTAGCAAACCCATGAACTTATTTCGTGATTATCACAATATTGTTTCAATATCCTACTTTTGCTTGCAATTCTGTTCTCTCTAGGACATTAAGGTGCATTTTTGGTTTTTAAGTTTCACCGCCAGATAACAACTGTTTCATTGTGATCTCTCTGTGAGATTGGATATATGATTTAAAATTTTTGTTAACAAATGTTAATTGTGATTCAATTGTTTTCTCAATCATGTAAGGAGATGCAATCTAACCGACTGTAAAAGACGTCGACTATGTTGATCAAAAAATTGAAACTGCATGTCTGTATTATGACAGGAAATGGAGAGCAATCTGTCTCAATTTTGGAATGTACTGGAATCAAAGAAGCTAACTCAAGGTGTTAACTTTGAATTTCCCCGAAATATCCTTTTTTTATTAATTATTTAGATGTAGAAATTCTCCATGTTATTTTTATTAATTATTTATTTGGGAGTGAAGTGAAAATCTGTAAATGCGGATTTGTGTTTGTTTGCCCAGATGCTATTTCAAAGCTGGAGGAGGCATTGTTGATTAATCCTAGGAAATATGATGCTCTGTGGTGCTGGTAAATGCTCCGGACCAGAATGAGGCAAAGGTTCCAAAAGGTGTTATACTGCTTCCAGAAGGCTTTCAACGGGGTACTTCCACTTACAAATTTGTTATTCTTGGAATTTGTAATCCCGCAGCAACGCGCGGGCATTACTAGCTAGTTTGAACTAATCACGTTACTTGACTAGAATCAACCGGACTACCCAGACAAGTTAATCAATTTATGGACCAAATAAAAACTCCCTAACAATTAACCAAAATAAAACCCATAAACTCAATCAATCAACTGTTAACAAAAAATCCTAACAATTAACCAAAACAAAAGCCCATATCAAGTCATATCAAATATCCATAAAGATACGTTGGGCTTCCGGTTGTTTGGGTTTGGAGGTTAGATTTGTTTAATTAGTTTGTTTTATTTTATTTTATAAGAAATGATAACATCTACACTAAAAAAAAGTTGGCTAAACCTCACAATAAATTAGCCATAATAATTAGTTTAAAAAAAAAATTAAGCATTAAAGAAAAATTAAGGACTCGGTCAAAACAACATTGATTTGAGCTAGATTGTTTTAAGCATTAAAGAAAAATTAAGAACTCGGTTAAAACGATGTTGATTTGAGCATCAAGGGTGCAACAAACTTTTGAGCTGATTCAGGCATTTAGTCGAACTATATGAATTTCTGGTTTGATAGTGTTGAGAAAGTGAAGATTCTGGACAACAAAGGGGCGATACAGTTGCTTATCAACCACTGTTTTGGCTTTCACAAGGCACATGATCACTCTTGTCCCTTGATGGATCCATCATTGTGTTTGCTAATTTCTTTTGGAACTTTTGTTAGCCTGCTTTTGCAAGATCTTTGTACGATATCCTTTGGAACTTTGTTGCATGAATTAATCACCTATGTACATGCGTCCAATTTATCACATTAATAAAGGTAAACTTACTAAACTTAGCTTCCCTACAATGTTGCCCACAACTAGTATGGAATCCACCTCAATTACAATACTAGAAAATTCTCAAATTGGTTTAACAGCTACACTACAGCCCAAGGAAGTGCCTTTTTACTTCATCACGGTGCTTGTGCTTCCATATCTTTCACACAAACCTAGATAAAACCAAGATTACACAATTGGAAATGTTAATTAGTAAAAGAAAAACGTATTACTATTTGATTGAATCATTTTTGTAGGTGTTAATATGGTTAAATAATTTTATGGGTCAGAGAGATAGAGATAGAGGACAAAATACGAGTAATAGATACAAGACACAGTTGCACCCTCCATAACCAATTTAGATGAACCAACACGTATGTATTCATTTACATCTTAAATGTATTAATTTAAACCTTAAATTATCCACTTTGTACGATTACGTACATTTTTTATGTTTTAAGACAAGGGTCAAAAATACCGATTTTGGCGTGAGATCATAGTCCAAGTCATATGGGTGTCGACAAAAGCAAACCATGTCATGCGCAATGCAATTTGCTTTATTAAAATTTTCCATTTTTATATATAGATGTATGGTAAAATGTATGGTATAAGATTCCTACCTCAGCTATGGAGCGTTGAAAACACATCCTCTTTTTTTATAACACTCACTTAGTGGGATAGATAAAATTGAGTGTAGTGACATCCTAGGATTTATATTGTCGACTCTACTTAGTTGGTTAAGACTTTGTTATTGTAATACATTTTTGCTCATCACCTTAAAGTGATAGTAATGCTCACCACCCTAAAGTAATAGTGATGCTCACTACCCTGAAGTGATTGTGATGCTCATCACCTTGCTTATTACTATTTAATGCGTTTAAATTTTAAGATTTATGTATATTCACTATACTGATATCGAAATTTAAAATTATCACAAAATGATAAAAAGTGTGGTGAGTAAAAATACTCTAATTTGTTCTCGTAAACACTCACCCTTAATTATTCATGTATCTAATTGACATTAGATCAATTATCTCCCATTGTCCTCTCATGTTTGCGTAAAAAGTGGTTGTGTCAAGTATAAATTACAAAGTGGGATGTATATTGAACAGTGGTCTGGTCTGAATGTCAATCGATCGGCATTCGGCACTTATTGCATTGTTATTATGGATTTGAGATCCTCTCATGATCCTCTTTATGAGGATCTTGGGAATTCTCAAATCGTTTCTGTTCATCATATATTGTGCAGTCAGTTTTTGTCGAATACTATTTATATTTAATTTAAAATAATTTCTGACCACACGATGTACGATGAACGAACATGATTTGAAAATTCCCAGAATCTTCACAAAAAGGATCCGAAGAGGATCCTCATTCGTTATTATGCACCAAAACTGATCAAATCCTGCAGTACTCGAATCGCATGATAGAAAATAAAAACACAATCGCAATATTTTTATTTTTTTTGTGCGGAGAGGATTGTCTAAAGAACAATGCCACTCAAGTGGATTTAGGTCACCTCCAACTGATCGGACCAGAGGGTTATAGGGCCAAAAATAGTCCGAAATGACACAAAAATTGTCTCTAACCGAGGGCTATGCCAAAGAGCTTGTGGGCCTCACCAGGCCAAAAAAGGAGAAAAGGGTCAACCGGCTGGCCCAACCTAGCCAGCCAGCCAGCCTCGGGCTGGGCCAAATGTTTGAAACCAACGGCTAGTTACTGACTCAGTTAGTCGTTATATTTGAATTTTTTTTTTTTTAAAGTTTTTGTAACATCTCACATCGCCTAAGGGAGTGGATCTTGTAAGCCTTATATGGATATTCTCATTTCTACCTAGCACAAGGCCTTTTGGGAACTCACTGGCTTCGGGTTCCATCGGAACTTTGAAGTTAAGCGAGCTCGGGCAAGAGCATTCCCAGGATGAGTGACTCATTGGGAATTTCTCGTGTGAGTTCCCAGAAACAAAACCGTGAGGGCATGGTCGGGGTCCAAAGCGGACAATATCGTGCTACGATGGAGTCGAGCCTGGGATTTGGTGGGGGCTCGAGCGAGGATGTGATAGTTTTTTTTTCAAATTTAAAAAAATAAAAAATAAAAAATCTATTTTTTTTCCTATAACTTCGTAAGCCATTAAATAACGTTAAATAACATGAAACAACAATAAACAATATTAAACAACATTAAATAACATTAAGTAACATAAAAAAAACATTTAACAATATGAAACTTAAACAATATTTTAAAAAACATTTAACAACATAAAACTTAAACATCGACACGTGACACTTGAAATCCGAGACGTAAAATTATTGAGATTACATCTCGAAAAATTATTGACAATCCATAACGTAAAATTATTGAGGTAATTTAATTTAGGTAACCATATTAATTCAATTAAAATAATAAATTATGTTTGGCTCAATGATCATTTGGCCCCCTCATTTGGAGATGGTTTTTTATCATAGAGCTATGTTTGGCATATGACCCTTTGGCCCCTCGGTTGGAGATGGTAAGAAAAATGGCCTGACACTGTTTATTAAAATATTAATTTCTTGGAGGGCCATAGGGCCAAAAAGAGCCCTCTAACCCTTTTTCGGTTGGAGATGGCCTTACCACTCCCCATGTGAGAATATCATTTTTACCGCTTACCAATTAAAGGATATTTATCAAAATGACTAAACAGCTGAGTTCAAATCTTTTGCATTTAAATTTTTTTATAACCTGTCTTTGTCTTATCTATTTGAGTGACACATGTTCTTTTGACTGAATTTATCTTTAATTTTTTTATTTTTTTAAATTAGAATAATAAATTGAAGAGTTAACTCTGTTAAGTGGAGTTAAAAAAAATGATCAAATGCCAGCAAATAAGATAAGTTACAGAAATACCGCAAAGGGTTTTGAGTGCAAAAGATTTTAACTTCTTAACAAATTAGAATTTACGACCTGTGTGAACCAACCAATTGATTTCAACCGAAGCTTTTATTAATGTTTTGGGTGGTGTCATATGACAAGTTAGTGTTTCCCATACAATTAATAGTGATTAATTTGAAGGACTGGTGATTTTATACAGTCACTTGATATATATATATATAGGAAAACTAATGAAAATGACTTAAAAACTTTGAATTTTAATTATAAGGACAAATTAAACAGTAAAGTGAATAGTACCAGAATTGACTTTTTAGTGTAAAAATGTTGTTTTTCGTTAAATTGAACAGTACCGTAAATTTTTTGTTAAAATTTGATGATACATTTTATTATATCAGGTTGAACTTGGGTTCATTAGGGTTATGAGTGAACCATTGAACATTCACCCCCCCCTTTTCGTTTTGTTTCTCCGGTGCCAGCTCATAAGGACAGGGCCGTATTTTACGTTTATAACTTTTTTTTTTGTCAGTATGTATATAACTTTAGAATAATACTATTTTGGCACACGAACATATGTAATTTGTTGACAATTTTAAATGAAGGTTCGTCGTTATATTGTCTACTAGACTCGTATGAATTTGAAAGTGTGTTAAAAAATATCAATTTTTATTCTTTACGTTATATATGTTTGCCTCTTCATGGAGCTAGTCGTAAAGGAATGGATGAGGATGGATATACCATTAGATTCTAAATATCTGTCCAATTAAATAATGATATTATATATTGAATTGAATTTGCTATAATGCAAGATCGGATAGAGAGAGAAAAAAAAAATATTAGGTTTAAAAATAATCACCGTGATAACTATATGTTTTGTCGAAGAAACACTTCAAAGAGCTCTATTGGAGAAAAATTTCTAATCTACCTACTTTTCATGTTGTAAATTATTGTAGTTGTTCTTGTAGAGCGATAATGTTAGGTGGTTAGATAGTTAATTGTTAGGAAGGAAGAGAGTTAGTAAGATTCTAACTTGCACCAAGAGTGTATAGACGTGATTGATTTTTGTCACTGTGATAAAATGTCATATAAACTATAATTGATATGTACAAAATTTTACATACAAAAAGCTTTATTAAAAAAACTCACAATGACTTGATTTTATTTTGAGTAGAAAAGGAATGTCATGTTATACTCGTCTACATTGATTAAGAGAGTTTTTCTTTTAATTAGAATGTTATTTTAACCATAGTTCAATTACAGTTCATATGACAAATTTACGATTTTGATTTTCCTCAACTGTTATACATTATGAAAATTCTAAAAAGACAACTTTTATTTATTTATCATATTGTAGTTATTAAATTCGAAGAAACATCAAACACTATTATTCATCCATATTATAAACAAAAACCTAATGATCATGATTGATCAAACTCGTGAAAAAAAGAACAAAAACCTAATGATCATAATTGATCAAACTCGTGAAAAAAAAGAAGACGACCATTATTGACCAAACAAATTGTAAGTTTTTGTGTTGGGGGGGGGGGAGTGGGGTGTGTTTCAGAATGTTCGAGATTAGAAATAATGTTTTCAAATTCTGTTCCAAAATTTTGAATTCAGATCAGATTATAAATTTCAAATTTAGAATTTTTATCATATTTCAAAAAATTTTAAATTGGAGTAATCTAAAAAATTTGAGAACATAAATCGAAAATTTCATATATTATATAAGTTTTTGAATATTCTCTAATGTTTTTGTAAATACAATTTATTATTCTTTTTAATATTTAATATATGGTTATGTATAAATTCAATTAATTATGTGGTAAACTAGTATGCTATTGCTTACTCTTTTTAATGTAAAAAATATGTTTAATATAAAAACAATGAGCAAAATATATTCAAAAGCAACAATAAAATACTAAAGTTGATCACAAAATATAAAATATATAATTTGAGTAACTATAAAAATCAGTATTTCAGAAGTTTTCATATCAAAATAAGCTCGAAACATTTAAAAAAAAAATCAGATAGGTAATTTAGAAGCCTCTTAATTTCTAAATATATTCCAATTTTCGTTCTAACTTTTTGGAAATATTACTATCTGAATCGAAAACACCATTCCAACTTGCACCTTAAGATGAGGAGAGATTTTTCAATGTATCCGAATTACGGAACCGTATGTCACATATTATTATAGAAGTATAGGAAATGTTTTTTTTTAAATTTCCATCTACTTGAATAATGATATATAACGTACGTGTGTGTTTCGAGTACACTAAAAAATCTTTTGTAGGTGAGTGAGATCAAATGAAGACGAATAATCATCGCTTTCCTTTTTAGACAGGTGGATACCAACCCGCAAAAACAAAAAATCATTTGACACAAAAAGCACAGCAGAAAATAAATTATCAGACAAAAAAAAAGAAAGAAACGAAAACAGAAAATAAATTAGAAAAAAAAAAAAAAAAAAAAGCGGGAGTGTGGTGGACGCGGGAAACGAGGCGCGTGGAGGGAAACAGAAGCGTTGGGGGTTATCTTGCTCTACCCTTCCTTGTACTTATTCTTTCCTCGCCGACTACTCCACCGTCCCTTGCCTTGCCTCCTCCTGTTGACCCCTCTCTCTCTCTCTCTCTCTCTCTCTCTCTCTCTCTCTCTCATATTTTTGTATAAAACTTTCCGTCCGGAAGAAAACAACCAATTACGCGAAAGTAACCAGTTTAAAAATTAATAAAAAAGCATCGACATTATTATTATTTTTTAAATAAATAAAAAGAAGAAAAGTATAAGAGGAAATTGTGTGTCTGAGAGAAAGTTGTAGTCGTGTTTGCTGTTCCTCTTCTCGTCAACAAATCACTCTTCCTACTTCATCCCCTTCCTCCTCTCTCTCTAGCATCTGGAAGTGTGCTTCTCCGCTCTCAACAATTCCAAGGTTCGTTTTTCGGTTTCCGATTGCTTATTGTTACTGCTTCTGGATTTTCAGCTTAATTGCAAACTTTGCGTCCCGCTAAACGGTTGTTAATTCGTAATTATTGTGTTGTTAATGTTCTTTTGAAATTTGGAAGTGGAAATTTTGAATTTTGGAGTGAATTTTGGGGGTTTTGTGTTTGGATTTTGCTTTTGGTTGTGTATTTGCTGCTGCGGAGTTGTGTTGCGGAAGCAGATTGTTGCCATTGCGACTCGGGAAGTGTCGCCGCCGTTTAAATTAGGGTTCTTCACGTTGCTCCGCCGAGTGCGGCGTTTTCAGTTGACTTGCGCTTCATTTTCTTTGTTTCTTGAGCTTTCATTGCTCTTCTAATGGAGTTCAGGGCTTTGTTTTAGGAGTTTTTTTGCTTCCGCTTTTCAATTTCATAACTCTGGCAATGTAAAATAGAGGAAATTGCCGCCAGTTGAAGTGCAGGTAGAGTCTTTAGTAAAGATGACATGGTACGAGTATCCTGTTAGGTTTCTTAGGGTTCTTGGTGAAGTGTATGTGCTTTATTGTAGTGTGAAATTGGAAAATATTATTCGGAGTTTTGCACGTTATTGTTTACACTACTCTTTGCTTAATTGTTGTCAAAGAAAAGCATTGGGATGACTTCAGGTTCCATGTTTAGTTTGTGCTTTTGTGTATTCATTTTAATATGATAGCGACGATATTTTTTGACCCCAAAGTGAGGTCAATTGAATTCTTTGCTGTAAAGTTTGTAATATGCATCAGGATTTTTTTTGTTTATGGATGAACTTTTTCTTTTCTTTTTCTTGCGGAGGACTTTATGATGAGGCTGTTGCTTTTGTCTTAATCAACTGCAGGATTCCGAGGGTTTATTTTGGTTGCAAATGTTGTCTGTTCAATTGAAAGCATTTTTCTGGTTTGCTAAATGTGTTGGAATACAATAGTTAATACCAAATTCTCACTTCTCGTTGAATATTTCCAAAAGTAAAGTTGACTGTGTAACAATATGTTTTCATGGTTCATAGAAATTGGGAAATTCGAGAAATTGGTATGTTATTCTTGTTACTCTCGTTGATTTGTTTTGACACATTGAAGAATAAGTGAGAAGAAGAGAACCATATTCAATGGGTAATAAGCTCGGAAGAAGTAGACAGGTGATTGATGAGAAATACACAAGGCCTCAGGGGCTTTACCACCACAAAGATGTGGATCATAAGAAACTGAAGAAGCTCATACTTGAGTCCAAACTTGCTCCTTGCTATCCTGGAGATGAAGAAGGCACTTGCGATCTTGAAGAATGTCCAATTTGCTTTCTGGTACGACTTCTACTGTGATCCTTTTTATTGTTTTTATACGTTTTCTTCTTGGTATTCTATGTACCCTGTCTTTTGCTTTCTTTGAATTGAAGTTTACTCGAAAATCCAATTTCCCTTCTACTTTTCTGTTTCCTGACGTGAACCATACAGAATTAAGTTGAATATTTTGGATGGATTTCTGGTACATGGTAAATGGGAAGCTTTATCTTAATTTCTTCTTAGACACCATTATGGGAAGAACCCACATAATTTGAATTTATGAAGTAGTTAATTGAATTAATTCGTAATTATTGGTATTGTGCAAGACTTCTGACTATCCTATTTCATCCTTTTCTTTATTGTTTCAGTATTATCCAAGTCTTAATAGATCAAGATGTTGCATGAAAGGCATTTGTACAGGTTACAATCGTGCAAACTTTTACATTTGATATGTCAGCTGTTTGCATGTGAATTGATTGGTTTTCATTTCCCTGCAGAGTGTTTCCTGCAGATGAAAGTTCCCAATTCAACTCGTCCTACGCAGTATCCTTTGTTATTGATGTTATACCTCCATTATTCATTTGTTACTTCCTGCTCTTTGTGCTTGTTTTACTTAACATAATTAGGTGCCCTTTTTGTAAAACAACCAATTATGCTGTGGAGTTCCGTGGTGTGAAAACAAAGGAAGAGAAGGGCCTGGAGCAGATTGTAAGCATAGATCTGTTATAAAAGCTGATATTATTTGAATTGTGGATTCTTGTTCTACTGATTTTATCTAGCAGATGGAACTTGGAAATTACATACATTTCTGAAAACTCTGTAGGAAGAACAAAGAGTCATAGAAGCAAAAATCAGGATGCGACAGCAAGAACTTCAGGATGAAGAAGAAAGAATGCAGAAAAGACAGCCGAGCTCTCCAAGAAGAAGCATGGCACCAATGGGAGATGAATACAGCTCAGTAACTGGTATGCTATCTTTAAGATTGTGGATTGTACTAGTGTACTGGTATTCATTTGTTAACGTAATGACAAAATTTTCTGGCAGTTCCATCTTCCATTTCTCCGGAAGGAGAGGAAATAGTTTCTTCTCAAGATTCATGTGCTGTCTCAACGTTTAGACAGCCTCCATCTCCAAGAGTGTACAGGTTTACACCTTTATTTTTTATTTACTTTAGTATCTTTTTATTTCTGGCCTGTGTATTTAACCATGGAACAAATTGGGTTCAAAATATTTGAGATATCTGTTTCCTTGTGTTGTCGTGTCCTAGTTTGTAGATTAGAAAAATATATGATTGCATTTAGAAAAGAAAGAAAACAAAGAGTAGGAAATTACTGCAGCATAATTATCCGAATCAGAATAGCTTTCCATATCTTCATGAAACTTTAACAAGTTAGATCCCAGTTTGTTTACGAGTGAACAGATTCTCTAGTTTTTCCAGTCAAAACCCTTCATGTATGCATCTTTGTCCATGTCTGTACCTATGTAGTGCAATTGTGTGAAAATTAAAAAATTTCCACCAGGGAGTTATCTGGCTTTTCACATCAGAAATGCCAAAATTTTGAGATTAAAAGGCTCTTAAGTGTAGTTGTTGTACGAGATACATGACAATTCGAATACGACTCAAACATGATATGGCACAACTTGATTGCCAGCCATGATCCTAATATCTATTTTAAATTCTGAAATTGCTAGGGAGGATGAATTCGACGTGGATCTTGAGGATTTAATGGTCATGGAAGCAATTTGGCTTTCTATTCAGGTAAAAGTTGTAAATTTGTTGAAGTAACTATTTCTGCTTGAAATATACTTCATTTCAAACTGCATGAAAACCATGTGTTACACTGTTCAAAGTGAAACCCAATACTTTTTAATGATTCTCTTTTCTTATTTATTTTACTTTGAAATCTAGTATGTGGTTGCTTAAGTGCTTCTATGAAGGTAATGTGATTTTCATTGAGTACTCATAACTGGAGTGTAAGTAGTGATATATTCGACTAACACCCGATAGTGAAATGAAGGCAAGGATGCTTAGGTGAACAGAGAGTTGTGAACTGCGTATCCTTGAGGCTGAAATGCTCAGTTTGCAATATGTATAACGTAGGAGCTTGTACTTTTGACATATGTATCAGACATAATTAAACTATTTTGAGTTAAAGCTCCCTCTTATCAAACTATTTTGAGTTAAAGATATCTCTACGTGGATAATAGTTGATCTAATCTTTATATTTAATAATCCTACTTTAATCTTGAGTTTAGAACTTTAGATGAGCGGTTACTAGGAAAGATAAGATGACAGTATTTCTAATACAGATGAAAAGTGTTCATCAGACAAAATATTGTTGCTGTTCCCAAAATTTGTTGATTGCATCCTGGCTATTGGTTTCAAAAATTCTGAAAACATTTATATTCCTAGATGTAAAACTCTTAAAAGTGAAATAATAAAATGAACAACAATTTCTATCCAGCAATGGGAATCTTGTTTACAGCAGTTATCTCAAAAATATGTATATACTTCGAACATGAGTATATCATGATGTGTGCACACCTCCACAAGAGTATTTCAAATGTTTTGGTGTTGCTTTCATTGATGATGCAACCAATAACTGTTTTCATTTGTGATAGTTACAAGTAAGTTTTGTAGTATTTGAAGTTTATACCTTCACTTTAGATACTAGAAGACACATACATGCGTGTGGAGAGGTTGTGTCACGTTAAATATTTGATATATGGGTGTTATAAAGGTTGTCATTTAGTCAACAATTGCTAACTTGAGTGCACTGGGAGATTATTGAAGTGTTGGCTTTGTTCGATATTAGTTTCTTTGGGGCATTTTCTCTTCTATGCTTCCTGTGTACCAGGATCACACCTTTTCTTTTTCGCTTTTTATATCTGTTAATTTATGATGTTAATTTGCCGGCCTTCCAACTCTTCTTTTCTGCACAAAAATTTTAATTTCAGGAGAATGGGAGACAAAAGTCTTCATCTTATGTTGGTGCTGCTCCACCTGAACAATTTGTCTCAAGACAAAACGTTGTCTCACAAGCCATGGCTTCAGTTTCCGGTTCATCTTCACCATCCGGGGGTCTTGCCTGTGCAATAGCTGCCCTTGCGGAACGACAACAAACGAGTGGAGAATCCTCTACAAATCCTGGTGGCAACGTGTCGGGGTTTAGTATGGTTCCTGGCACTAGCAGATTTTACAACAGGGTGGACAGAGGACCTGAGAATTATCAAGTTGCAGTGACCTCTTCTGAAATGTCAATCAATCACAGGATGCCTTTGACGCAGGATGACAGAGAATGGGACGCTGACACAACACGGACGGGTTATGCAAGTTCCGACACAACAGAAGATGTCGGGAGTACATCTGCACGACCAGCGGGGAGTGAGATTGAGGGTGATCTTCAAAATGCCCCCGGCACTATCGTTCCTGAGAGTTTTGAGGAGCAGATGATGCTGGCCATGGCCGTTTCTTTGGCTGAGGCTGGAGCCGTGGCTAGTGGACCTGGAGTTTCCTGGCAGTAGTTGAAGTCATGATACAAGTGATAGTTAATCCTGAAACGGATATGTTGTGGCCATTGCAGTTGCTAGCTGAGTCTCGAGCACGGAAACTGCACAAAAATGGAAGGGAAAAAATTCGCGTAACTAGTCGAAAGGTCAAGGCAGTGATGAATCTCCCTCACTTTCTCAGTCCCTCTATGTTTCTATATAGATGTGAAAGGAAAACAGATTATTCTAGTGAAACGAAAGGCTTCTGGTTTTGCTATTCGTTCTGATTTCTACCCTTACAGCTTGATTAGCGAGTAACGAGGATCGTTATCATTCTTTTTACGTGTTTAAAATGTGCGACTCATTGTTACCACGTTGACGGTGACATGGAATTCTTTCCTGGTTGCACCCCGTACATTGGAAAAGAAACAGTTGAATCTGGAAATAAGAAATAGAGTTTTAGATTGATGTAATCCTAGTCCATTCAAACTTCGGTAACGAAGGGAAAACAGTAAAGCCCAAAATTGTTCACAAAACAAGTTGTACATAGGTTTTCGATTGTTTGCTTGGAATCAATCAATGACAACTACCAAATTTTGTTCGAGGTGAAGATAAACAATGAATTAATGGGGAAGGAAAAGTTATCTTTTACCCAATAAAAATTGGAGTTGATAGGAAGAAATTAGGGGTACAAGTTGGATTGGGTTTCTGATTTTGGACAGTTTCCGAAAAATTGGAATGGAAATCAGAATCCATTCAGCAAACGCGATAATTCTAAATCTTTCCAAAGTGATCCGAACTTATTCCGAAAAAGTACTTCCAATTAGTCCGATTTTCCTACATTCTTGTTAGAGTAATGCTAGGGAGACTATTAACATTTAAGTAATAAACCAATCATCAACTTCCATATCCTTTAATTTTCAAAACTTTATCTATAAATTTAGTCTCTTTCGCATTACTCTTATTGGTATCATAGTTAATTTTATGGCCCACTAGACTAGTCACCGATGGAGTTCGAAATCCACGACATCATGCAAGAGCTCAGTTCCTTTTCACCACTGTGGTAAAGGGTCACTTGTAGTCTTAGGGTCTGTTTGATAATCATTTTATTTCATTTTTTTAGTTTTGAGTTTTTATTATTTTAAAAATTGAAAATAAAAAATACAAAACTGAAAGCTATTTTTTGAGCTTTCAGTTTTCAAAAAGAGTTCAAACAAAAACTAAAAACATAATAGTTATCGAACAACCCTAAACGTACTCTATCTTCTCCTTTTAACTCGGACACAATTTGCTTCCATTTCATCCTAGTAACTCCAAAAGGTTTCCTAGAGCGAGGGGAAGTGCCAAGTGCCAACAGCTAACAATTGGTGTTTTGGGGGGTGGGGTGGTGGGCATAAACTATGGCCAATCTTGAAGTGTCAAGTCTTAACTAATAATGTGTGGTTGAGAGGTGGATTTTATGAGACCGGGCCTCAGAGTAGGTGAAGAGATATCATAAAACATTAAGTTTCACATGCAGTGTCTCTTTCTACAGTTCAACAAAACTCAGCTACTCATCTTTTGGTTCCATTGCATAAGACTCAAAACTTTTCAAGCTTTGCAATTTCAGTGAGGACCACACGATGACCTACATTCCTCGCTCTTTCTTTGTTTACCCACATTATTTGCACTGCAAAAATGCCCCCATATCACATAGAGAGACCAAAGGGACCGGTACCTTGGTTTGCTAACAATTTGAACTCGTCAAATTTGACTTTGGACCAAAGTTAGGGTTTCACCACTACTAACTAACTAAAACATTTGACTCTTCAAATGTCTCGTAGCTCTTTCCTCCGTTTAAGGTCTTGTATTCGAGTTTTTATTCTTCTTTATAAATATCAATTTTCTCTATATTATGTCAGTTTTGCGTTAGGATTCATCTCAAAGGTTATGTTGGGGTTAATCTCTAAAGAAGTTTAATCACGATTTAATGCCGTGTTTACTCTTCACTGCAATGTCTCTTGAAATTTAGGCTGATGAATCTGTTGTTTTTTCAATTGCTTGTGCATTGTAATTTTTTAATTTGATAGTATAATATCTCTTCTTTTCAAAATATGATTGTTTAAAAAAGTATAACATTTGAATCCAACTTTAATTTGTCTTCTCCAAACAAAGTTTGGGGGCTGCAAATTTATATATCAACTAGGAAGGCAGCCAAATCCCATCTAATTTCAACAGTTCTTAGGTTTGACTTATGACAAATGAGTGATTGAGAACCAATCCCATCTACTTTCAATAAGAATGTGGTGTTATCTAGAGATGCAAATGCTAATGTTCAATGCCAAAATTCGAATAAAAAAGAAAGAGAAAACAAATGGATATCAAATGTTTCGTTGCATATAATGATCTCAAACGTTACGTCTTCTGTTGCAATTTCAAAGGTACTTCATCTAGTTATTTTTTCAATCCAATATCATTTAAATTTCGTAGCAAATTGAATCCAAAATATAGTATAAAAACTTCAGAATGTGAGTACCAATGGAACCCAAGAGGTTGAGGCGTAGGAGCCAAGTTAAGTCAACAGGTTTTGATTCTTGTGTAATCGTACCGAATTGTATTTTGTTACGAACACATTACTTGCTTCCATATGGAGCACGTTTCCTTCAGATGGCACATTAATAAACTCCGTTACTTGCTTCCATATGAAGCATATTAATAAGCACGTTTCCTTGGTTCAGTGGAAAAGTACGAACAACAGTTTTTTAAAGAAAAAATGAAAGATCTTGATTCAATATTTCCATAATTTGCTTAATCGTGATTTCAAGTATAATGCAATTCTTAACTAACTTCCTCTAGACTAAAAAAAGTGGATAATAATGTTTCATCACCATTTGTCATCTTTTTTTTTTAAGGAAAAAATCATTGGTTCGATAAGGCACACTTGAGTAATGACAGTGTGACCCCATTGAATTATTGTTAATTAGTACCAGTCATGTTAACGTGACACTATCTTTTATTTAAAACCATGATTATACCTAGGAAATTATTAATATGAAATATGAGTGGGGTCAATACACTAATAATTATGAAATTATGAGTACTGTAAAGATTATAAACAAATTATTAGTTCTAAGTGGCATTGTGTTAAGTCTAGAGTCTAGACTCCCCTGCAATTTAGAATTGAGAACGAATTTTCTCACCATCTTTAGTGAGCAGTGAAGATACATTACCACAGCAATATGTTTGTTTCATGAGTTTGATTGAATCTAATCACCGCACAAATTTCAGAAACTAAATTCAACGACTTACATATATTGACGTACTACTTAATTTAACGGCATAAATTTGGTGACAATGCTCACCGCAAATTAATGATGGTGAGCAGTTTTATTGTGTTTTGGATTTAGTAAGAGGAGAAATGTTAACGGCAAGTAACTCTCTATAGATTCTTTGTCGGATTAGAATTCTCTCCTCTCCTCTTTCCATCTTTCAGTTCTTTTCATTCTCTCTTCTCACATTCTCTATTTTGTATTTTTTTTTTATAAAAAATTAATATAAGATGTTGACGTAACTTAACCGTGACCATTCAAATAGAATGGGAGGAAAAAAAAGAGAGGAGAGAATCCTACTCCCTCTTTGTCACCTCATGCTTCTAGCACAATGTTTTATAATTTTGGCACAGAAATTGACGTCAAACTATGAGGTGGTAGAGAGTCCACAAAAAATCTCACTTTTGAGAAAATTTCCCTAACATTTCTTTGCTAAGAGTTATACAATTCTTATCTCAACACTCTCACATCCAATGTATTTTAAGTAATTTTACAGTACTATAAAATACACATTACAAGAGAGAATCGGAATAAAAGTTGAATAACTTTTGATATCTCTAGAATGTGAAAAATGTAGATAGAATGTGCACAAGAAACTCCCTTTTTTGTTTTGGTTTTGAAGTTTGGTTATCAAACATTTTTTTGCCGCCGAATCAAATGAATAAAAAAATAAATGATAAAAGATTACAAAAAGTATGTAAAAGGTAAAAATAAGTGTGTAAATAATTAGTTTAAGTAATTATTTCCTTGGTTATATTGTTTGGAATGAAGGAAGACAAAGAAGGTGATTCCAACTCGTACATTTATATGCATGCACGTTGTCAAAATGCACATATATATATATATATATATACACATGCATGGTCAAAATACACATATGTTTACATGCATGGTCAAAATGCACGCATTGTCATTAAAGAAACAAGAAGAAAACGTCCACAGATTTAAAAAAACAAAAGGTTTGAACTTTGAAGAAGTTCGAAAGAAGACAAAAAGACAAGAGCGAAAGGGTTGGATTTTCCCAAGATCCTTTACTTTCACATTGAATTATTTAGCAGTCCTTTTTTTTAAAATTACTCCTTTGTCCTCTTCTTCTCACCCATTTCTAGAAAAGCTGAATGCGCCACTATCACTCTCTCACTTACCTTTAATTCAAACTTCGAACTTTCAACACCTCTCTCTCTCTCTCTATCTCTCTCTCTCTAGGTTGATGGCTCTTCTGGGCACAGTTTTTACCGCCTAGTCTTTCATGTTTCAAAAAAAGTTGTCACTTTTTAACACCAAAACCCAACTTGTTGAGCTCAAAAAACCATCCTTTACCATTTTCTAGCAAATGGGTTATTTTCTGTAGTCCCCCAAAATATTCAAAAGGAGAGGTCTTTCGTGGAGTTCTTCTTCCATTTCAGATGCTACTCAGATCACAAAAGAGAGTGTTAGTGTTAGTGTTAGCTCAGCAACTGGCATTGTTTTGCTGGAATCTGCAAGGTGAAAATTATGTTTCTATTGCCCATTTATAACTAGTATTTTCTCAATATATATGATTTTTTTTTTTTTTTTTTTTTTTTTGCATTTTTATTTGATGTTGTTCTTTTACCTTTACTGTCACATTTTGTGTCAGTGGGGTGTTTAAATGTTAGCTGATTTCTTAGTGACTATCTAAAATTTCCTTACAATTTTGAGATCTTACGACTCACAACTTTGTTTCCCTTATTGTTCAAGGATCTGTGTCTAGGCATTTTTTTTTTTTTGTCTTAATTTGGAAGTGTGAGGTACACTTTCTTATGATTTTTACTTCCCTTCGGAATTTCGGACCCTCCAGAAAATGTAAAATTACAACTGAAAAAAGGAGTGTAGTTCGGTTAAAACATGCAGTGTCTGCATGTTTAATATTCTGAGAATCCTTGATGGTTTGTATGCTTCAATCTTATGCTGATAGGTAGGAAATTTGTACTCCCTAGATCAGTGATTAAGTCACCTCTTATAAAGTACATGAGATTAGTGGTGTCAATTTGAAGGCTTTAAGATCAATAATTGTTAGGAGTTTCAGAGAGTATGAGCGGCCCATTACTAACCAAAACCGATACAGTTTTACCACAAAAGGCCTTGGTTAAAAGTAGTTTAGATCAACTACTATTAACTCTAAGCAATACGAAATTAGCTAGTCATGCTTGGTTATTGCTTGATACAATCTTGTAATATGATAATGAACATCACAGGACACATTAGTTTTCAACTTTCCAGCACATTTTATGATCTTTTTCAGGGGAACAGAAGAAAAGTGGATGCAATTTTTGAGCCAAAAATGCCGAGTGACAATATTGCCACTGCAACATTTCAACCCCAAGAAATAGTTTGAACTTTTAGGTTGAAAAATATGCCTGCATTTGATAATGTGGGGAACGAGAAACTTTTAAGAATGCTTTCGCACTGTCCCAGAAGCATACTAGCAGAGATATGCAGTCCTTGAGGAACATGGGGTTTTGTAAAAGTGAGATTAAGCCTTGAGTTATGTAACCAATCAAATGCATTGCATTTTTTTTTCTCTCTCTAGGACCATTTGGTGTGTAAATCTGCAATCACATGTATCTTCTGATGAGCAGAGAGCACCCGAAGATGGAAACATGCCACATGTTTAGCGCATCATTTTTGCAGATGGGCTCATCTGTGCTTGTAGACTATGCTGCCTCTTGTGCTTAGCAAGGGATATTTGAATGTCATTGCCCCAATATGTTTAGGCATTGATATGCAAGAGCATGGAGTTTTTTTAATCTGTAGTACGACATTATATTTCAAATACCATTCTTATCTTACTATCTTAGTTATGTGTTTTATTCTAACTACCTTTTTTCTTATGATCACAACATAGCAGAACACAACCCTTCGACTTACTAGTCCTTATATCTCTTTTCTCCAGCCAATCTTCTAAGCGCAACAAATGCTGCGATCAAGGTTAGACGATGCTATTTATCCGTAATCTGGGTTTGACTTTTGTTTATGTGTTTATGTATTTTCCTGAATCTTGTGGATTCAGTGTAAATCTAAAGATAAGGGTTGTGTTATGCGGTAGATTTTTTGTCCTTCTTATCCTTGATGGTCTGATGATTATCATTTTCAAGTACATTATGGTTCATAGTTATGCGGTAGATTTTCTGTGTCTAGAAGGTTCTTTTGCTTAATCAGGACATTATTTGAGCTCTAGTGGTTTATACATGTCCTAAGCTTTACCCTGAGAGATGCGATTACATATAAAAATGGAATAAATATCTGATAGAAAATTCTTGTCTTGATTTTGAGGAATAGGGGCTGTGAAATGGTTCAAAGGCCGTCTCCTCGAGGCTCACATCAGCTCAGGACATCAAGCTCTGATTCAGATCCACTCCATCATCGACCAATAACTGACCGAAGTCCAAAGCTAGGAGTGGATCGCCGTTCCCCAAGAGGTACACAATCTGATCCACTAAACCAAAAGAAAATTGGAACGCGCCTTGCTGATTTGGAAACTCAGCTTGGGCAAGCACAAGAAGAGCTAAGGATACTGAAAGAGCAGTTGGCTTCAGCCGAGGCTGCAAAGAAAGAAGCACAAGAGAAACTGGAAAAGAAAATTAAGAAACGAGTTGTGACTTCTGAGCCAGCGAAGATCCAAAAAACGCATCCTACATTGGAAATTCAAGATTCTAACAAAACGGACAGTTGTTCCTCTGATGAAGTTCCAGTTGACATCCAAAAGGAAACTGATGTTTTTGAAGTCCCAGTAGAAAAAGTTACAGTTGAGCCGATGGTTGAAGCTAGTGAGACTGATCAGGTGGAAGATGAAACCAAACAAGCTGATAAATCAGATGAACCAACATCGATTTTGGAAGCAGAGAAACTTTCAGCCTTACGTGACCTAGCTTTGAAGAATGATGAGATAAACATGCTAAGAGTTGAGTTGGAAGAGAAGGCAAAGCAGTTAGAAGTGTCTGGTGAAGAAAGTCAGGGTGTAAAGAATCAGCTAAACGAAGCGGCATTAAATATTTTATCTGCCCAAGAAAAGGAGAAGGAAATGTCCTTGAAGTTAAGTCAGCTTGAAGAAGAGCTGGAAGTAAGTAAGGGAAATGCAGGTCAGTTGAACGAGAAGCTACAAGCAACGGAAAGAGCAAAGGAAGCACTGGAAGCGGAGATGAAGAAGATGAGAGTGCAGACAGAGCAGTGGAGAAAGGCAGCAGATGCTGCTGCTGCTGTACTTGCCGGGGGTGTGGAGATGAATGGCAGAGTAATTGAGCCATCAACTGGTGGCTACACCGGCTTTGTGGGGTCACCAGCTGATGACTTGGACGATGGATTCGGTAGTTGTAAAAGAAAGGGCTCCGGCAAAAAAAAGTTCGGCGACTTGTGGAAAAAGAAAGGCCAGAGATAGAGTTCTTTTTTTTTGTCTCTCTCGCCCACACTCGTGTTTAACTTTGAAAATTTTTCCGTTGATGTGTGATAGTGGCAAAACAGTTTCTTACTGTTTCAGATTCGGTAGGCAGTGCGTTTTGGATCCGCCGTCGTAGTAGGCATTGTTTTCCTAGTAATTTCAGAGTCTTGTAGAATTGTTTAAATGATCTCGACATGTTTTATTTCAGTTTATGAGTAGGGCCTTATTTCCTGTGATGCTAGACAAAGAAAATGCTCTTTCGTTGAACATTACTTTAATTTAATTTAATTTTTTTTGCGATATTATCTACACTAGGGGGGGTGGGCTTAGTCTCACAATGAGCTAGCAATAATGTAGTTCAAATTCGTTTTTGGCGAGAACCGAACCTAAGACCTCTCACTTACAATCAAACTCAATACGTCTCACTTTAAATATTGAAAGCTTGTGTTTCCCCTTTAGATGAGTTTACTTTCCCTTCACTTATGAAAACATAATTTCATCGTATGAACATTATAATCGAAACTGCTTGTTTTCTTTGTCATCAACTAAAGTTCACATATGTGAAAATCATTCAATATGTAAATCTTTTAGACATTCACATCAAACAAATGGACAATTCACCATGAGAATGCTACTTGTTACCAAAGTTGTCAATTGGTTTGACACTATGGATGACTAAACGATCTTCAAATTAAGTGAATGAACAATTCTGATTATGATGTTCATACGATGAAGATACATTAATCATAATTGAAAGGACAAGTAGGTTTATTCAAGAGTGAAACACAAATATTACTTTTTAGAATTCTACGATGTATAAGAGGTGTGTGAGAAGATCAAAGGACACTCTTTTTACTTCTCACACACCCTTCTAATTTTCGGCTATCGGATCAGATGAATTAAAGAATATCAAAGAACATAATTTAACAAGGAATGTATGAGAAGTAAAAATTAGTATGTGGATAGCACACCCCTAAATTATTCCTCTTTCATGATGATGTGACATCATTTTACTGTACAAGCATCAATTTAAACAATCAATTAGTTTGAAATGCAAGAATACCTTTTAGAATTTTTACAAATATCGTGTTTTGATACACTAAAAATTTGCTCAAGAGCAGCAACACGAGTAGTCCAACAACACTAATTGACACCAAACAATTTGAACTCGCATAAAAGCCTGACTTGCGGCTTAATATGACCTAACCTCAACACCTCTCCATCTGATTTATATTATTGAACGAAAGTGAATATTCATACTCAAATTAATATATACATATAAAAAAGACTGAATCAGAGAGAGTAGCTAAAATAAAGCCTATAAAAAAACAAAAAAAAAACAATCCACTAGACTTCATTTCTTAATGTTTTTTTTAAATTTTTTAACAAACGATAATATCTACATTAAGGGGTAAAGAGTAGGCTAAGCCTCGTAATGGGATAATCCTAATAATGTGGTTCAACTTCGCATTTAGCTAGATTTGAATTTAAGACATTTTACTTACAAGTGAAAAAGAATATAACTTGATCGTAGTATTAAGTAACTGACTTCATTCGTTAATGTTTTCTTTCAAACTGGACACAACTAACGTATTGGTTCATACGCCAAAAAGCATATACCTCAAAAACATATTACATTTATATACTACATATATTTATGCACGTAATTTATATACTAAGTGCAGTTATGCAATAAATTACAACTGTAACTTCATCTTCCTTGTAAAGAATTCAAAATTCGCAGAAAATATTGAGCAGCAGTAGAACAAATTAGGAAAACATGTGTTTTACTTTCTTCTATGGTATTCCACGTTTACAACCTTTTGAAGAATATTCGACTGAATCACCTACCGCACAATAAATTCTCATTTTTGTTGTCTTAAGTTTCTAGATGGTCAAGACTATTGACTGTCCAATAAGCATTTGTAAGACAATTGCATGCGTCAGAAAACATGATTTTCTTGTGTTTACCGGTTCAAGCTCTTGCATAATTGAAAAATTGCTCATTTATAGCCAAAAGGTTACAGCTTTGAGTCGTTGAAAAAGTTTATTTGCAAAGTAAAGATAAGATTGCATACGATAGACGTTTCTCTTCTTTCGTTATCGTCGCTCGCAAAGCAGGGAGTCTTGTTGGCTTGAGCTTCTCCTTTATGGTTCATGAGCTCAATTTTTATTAGATAAAAAACAATAATGAAAAAGAAAGGATTAGTGTTGTGAAATTGAGGATATGTGTCCAGTAGAATATAAAGTAAATAAGACACAATATTTACAAGGTTCTACAAGTATGCCTAATAGTAGTCACTGTCATCATACTGAAATTACAAAAGTGATGAAAACAATGCAGTGTATCTATTCTTCTTTATAATATTTGTGAGCATTCTTTATATAGGAAAACTATATCTTCTCTATTAAAGCCAAGAAATGTGAAAGTAGGCGGCACACTTCAACATTTGTTGGCTGTTGCGGCCTTTTTCTCCAAGGGGGTCATCCACTTTTATAACATTTCCCTTTGATGACCACAAATCTTTTCTTGACGGTCTTCATTAGAGCTTCTCTAATACTAATTCATGATATTAATAGGTGGTCTAAAGGAAACAAGAATATGTGCTCATATGGCCAATATAGTATACTCTTACATACTCCTCCTAATGATATTTTCCCATGGTATTCGATTAACTAACTTGTCACCAAGCCGACACGTGTCGGTGCAATGAACGCTTGACCATCAAATTCTTGAAAGGTATGGCGAAATAGTACTTTATAATTCAAAACGAATATATATATAGAGCAGATCCTTGACGTACCAATTTTTTTTACACAACTTTTGATACAATTTTTTGTGAGACCAACTATGTAATGTATCTTAGTGATCCAAACTGTTTATCTTTCAAAACATCATTCATAAATCTTTACAAAAAATTAAATAAAGAAATAGCTATATATATATATATATAGATCGAATTAAAGTGGCGTTCAACTGAATAAAATCATGGAATATACAGCCAAAGAGAGAGAGAAGATTCCTATATATGCCAACTGCCAAGTATTCCCCAGCCTTCCAACACCATATAATAAGGTTACTAAACATCGTATTCATCAAGTGAATTATGGTTCTAATTTTCTCTAAACAAGAATTGAAAAGTCCAAGTTTACCGGATAATAATATTAAACAAACAATAATTTCAATCGAGACTTGCCCTATTAGCACGTGGCTCTCTTTTGGCTACCGATACTAGCACTACTTGCCATTAACGAACAGAAAAGCTCTTGAAAATAATAATAATAATAATAATAAAGCAAAAATATTTCTTTACAATCATTCGTTGGTAAGGGGTTTTTTTGTTGTTATTCCACCCGCCAAAATTGCAGATCCGGTAATGATTAATAATAAAGGAAAAATAATGAAAATAGTTTTAAAACTTTGAGTTTTAACAATAAGAATAAAATAAATGGTAAAGTAAATAGTATCATGATGAACTTTTTAGTGTAAAAATGTGATTTTTCGTTAAAGTGAACAATACCAGAGCTTTTCGTTAAAGTTTCCTAATAATAACATTATATTTTTTTTTAATACATATGATATTATTTACATTAAAGTAAGGAAGTGGTCAAGACTTACAAAAAGTTAATCATAATAATTTAATTCAAATTCATTTTGGCCAAATCAAACATAAGATCTTTCACTTATAAATAAACAAGAATAACACTACATCTCTCCCTTGCTTTATAGTTTTGAATTTGCATTCACCACAAGAGGAGAAATAATATATTATACATTGTATTGGTTTAAATTTGTCAATGCGTACCTACTCAGACCATGGTACATATTAACAAAACTTGGATATTTAATGATGATCCATTGTGAAGAAAATTGTACTTGTCATAAAGGTTCTAAAAGACAGTAGGCGCTAGTCGGGCGGTGAATTGGGGCCTAAGGCCCAGGTAATGTGTAGGCAGGAGCAGTAAACTTATTATGTATCGTATAAATAAATGCATATTTATACTTAAAAATACATAATTGCATTGGGGATATATAAGTTGAAAAGTAGAATGGCATATAGATTAGAAAGTATTAGAACATATTGAAAACATGGGTAACCAGAATATAATGAGTGTTCATCCAAGTAGTCAGCAAGTCTTACAATTTATATAATAATAATAAAATAAAAAAAAGCAAATGAAAGTTTTCTATTTTTTTCTAATTGAGAGTCGCGACCTAGGCGGGCACCTAGACTGGCTAAGGGGGTCTAAATGGGTTAGGCAGGTGCCTAAACAGGTCTATGCACCATTTCTTAATTTTCAAACGCTTAGGATTTAATCGGGGCAGTGGCCAATTACCTAGCGCCTAAGCAGGACCTAGGCGGGGATTTTTAGAAGAGTGCTTATCATAGAATACATACACATAATTGATAATCAAGTAGTTAAATATTTAACAAAAGTTATTTGGTTAGGGTTTAACAGAAATTATCATAGAGGATAGCATTGTGGAGACAAAACGAGATACTCACTTGGGCTATTTACATTCAATGTCGGAGTCTTACAAATACCACAAGAGCTTTTCCGAGAAGATGATGAACAATGGTACCGTTCATTACTCTCGGCTTCAGCTAGTGTAGACGTGTAAAAACTAAGGCCGTCAATCGACTCCTCCATAAAGCCTGATCCATTGGGCGTGAAAGAGGGAACACTTTAATAACCTTCCCTGGCTAATAAGCCTAACTTCTTTTTTTTTTTTTTTTTTTTTTTTTGAAGAACATAAGCCTAACTTCATTGGGCTTGAAAGATGTAATCAATTGTGTCATGTAAGCCTAATTAACTTCTTGTTATGTAACTTACAGTAGGCCATTTTACAACTGAAGCGAAATCTCAAATCTCTCCCCTTCCCCCTTATAATAATAATAATAATAATAATAATAAAAAATAGGGATTTTTGAACTTTAATCCTTCAAGAAGATTAAAATTTAATAAAAACATGGTGTTAGATTTGATATTAGTCCCTTAATGTGTACTTAATTCAAATTTATATTATATTTTTGGTTTAATATTTAATAGATATCTTATTTAATGTCACTACATTAAATTTTAAATTTATTATTATACACATTTTAATTAATTAATTTTATTTAATTTCCTCTAACTAATGTACCTAAACATCCGTATCATAATATATTTTACTAAGTATGTGTACCAAAATGTCCGTACCTAAATATATTGTAGTAAATTAGTGGCACAT